TGTCACATCTTACCAGTTTTGTTATATCTCTGTCAATGGCCCTCGGTTGAATTGCCCTCCAGAAGACATTGTGTAGTCTGGTATGTGGATCACTCTTAATACTTTCCTATCTCTTTCCTTACATGATCTGGCAGTTTCCTCTTGTGAGGTTTTTTGACTAACCCCTATAGCTATTTTGACTACATTTATTAGTTTTCACCAGAGGTATTTTCCTCAATCGTATACTCTTTTTTTTTTTTTTTTTCTAGGGTCCCTTTATTTTTTCACTGGATCCCACTCTGTGGAGAGTGTTGCCCAGGCAGGTATGCTTTCTTTTTAAATTCCGCACTAGCAATCACTTTCACTATAATCACTACAGGTTTCAACAGGCTCTGTTGAAATGTGATGTTCCATAAGACCATCAAGGTGCCTTATTATTATTATTACCCATGGACTATCATAAGTAAAGCTAGAGGGGATCCTGCTTATCCATGCCAATCTTCAGGGTTTGCTTTTAAAAGTGTAGGGAACTTGCACAGTTTACAGAGCACTGTTACTCAGGGCTCCCCAACACATATTATCCCCAAACACATACTCTACAGGAGGAGCTTGGGAGTCCTTACCACCCAAGTTGTTGGAGTGGTGGACAGGGGCTTTTCCTCCAGTGTTTAAATGTGTTCCTCCACTCTTAGAGAAGAGGGTGTGATTGGGGGTCCTCCTACTCAGGTCCCTGGATGTTTTCCCAGATGTCAGTAAGAGTGGTACCAGTTTCTGCAGGAGCCTACTCATAATTCCAGTTCAGATTTGACACAAAGCTATCCGGTTGGGAGGTACATGGTACTTCTCTTTGATCAATGTCGGTTTCATATATTGTTCATGGAAGGAGGTCCACTATCTCCTCATAATCCCGAAAGTGATGTGGTTCATAATTCCTGACCGGATGAGTTCTGTTCCTTTGGTTGAGTATGTCATAAACAATCCAGTCATTCCAAGCCTGAGGTGTTGCCTTTAGGACTTCTTCAGGTGGAGGAAAAAGTTTGTCCACTTCGATGTTGCTTACTTTCTTGTCATGATTCCGGTGGTGCGAAACACATCACTCTATGGCACAGGTTGGGATTAAATCAAAAGTATATATAATACTGCAGTTCAATAACCCTATCCACCAACGTGGGATATAGGATCCATGACTCCTTAATTCCAACCCTGAGTTGTGGTTGGGGCTGGCCTATACTGGCTATTACTCGTATTCTGTTCCACCTTTGATATAGGAGCTGGATTCCTGGTGAAGAGTATACTTGTTCTGAATGTAGTGCAGTTCTATACAGGTGCTTTCTGTATGGTTCATGCCTGCACAGGTCCCCTCCACCTTTTCAATGTGGGATTCTAGCTATAGTGTCAGCTGAGGTAAGTATGTTTTGGAAGTTAACATTTTTCCTAAACTGAAAATGTAATTCCAATAATACTTACCTCTGCTGATACTCTCCCACCATACCTCCCCACTGAAAGCCAGTTTATGTCTCGAAAAAGTGATTACATTATCTGAATGAGATGCTTATATACAGTACCTAGATAGAGGGCACATTGAAGTCGGTGGAGAATTAAAATTTGCCAAGGGCATTTGAGAGGGGTATAAAAGACTGGGGCAAGCATTTTCAATGCTTAGATGGGCAAAGTGTGGAAACCCTGGAGATAGAGAAATAGTTATAGTGTCAACAGAGGTAAGTATTATTGGAAATACATTTTCAGTTAGGAAAATGTTAACTTATAACAGTTAGGAAAATATATAAAAAGTACAACCATATATTTTTAGCATTCTCTTGTTTATTCTGTAATGCATGAAATTTTAGTTCATGCTTAAAAACACTTACACTATAATTATTAAACCTT